ACATATATGTATATATATATATATATATATTTATATATATATACATATATATATATATATATATATATATATATATATATATATATATATATATATATATATATATATATATATATATATGTATATGTAATATATGTATGTATAGTGAGTCCTGTGCACCCAGGAACAAAGCAAAGCCTAATTGCCATTTAGTTGAGCTACTCAACATGAATCTATGGCCTTCAGTGTCTCCTGTGACATAAATTTCTACCTTGATCTCTGGTGTTCGCCAATGGACCCCTGAGCTGCGTCAGGTATTTTGCGCTTGAAGGAATCTCACGGAGCTTTGTCAGGTTTTCGAGTACTGAGAACCAATCAGAGACAGTTGGGGTGAGGCCCTGGGCACACTCCTCCTCCCTCAATCTGTCTAAGTGAAACACCCTGTAGTGGACACAGGAGAGATGGAGTTTTTGAAGTGGACCTGAAGGGTTGCGACAACCAGTCTATGGCCAGTACCACAGAACTTGGCACTCAGGTAAACCTTGCAGTTTTGGAGGATCCTCTAGCAAGCACTAACATGGATGTGGTTGATCTTCCTCACTAGAGTACCCGTATCACTAAATAATGTCCAGTAATGCAGGTTTTAGAGCATGGATACTAAGAACCAGAAATCCTCAATCTCTAGAACCTAGTAAACCTGGTGAAAGAGGCTATCCTAGATGCTGGGATCAGCTCCCGAGCCAGCTGGATCATAAATGAATATGCAAACATTGATGCACAGCAATGAGAGACACAAAGCCAAAAACATGCTAAAGTCTCTTTGTCATAATGTGCTTATCAATTGGAGTAACCTCCCCTGCCCACATTTTGTGGCTACCCGCTGGACCATAGCTCCAGCCAGACCAATATCAGGTGTATCCACTCACACTGATTGTGCCGCTGATTGGACTTCTCTATCTCCGAGAGGGCAGCCACACCAACTCTCAACCACTTCATTTCCCTCAATAGCAGGGGTAATCGATCATCCTGTCGCAAGAACCAGCTGTTCCAAGCTCCTACCTGGACAGTCCACAAGGGTTAAACTTCGACAGTGTGTTTTTGAGTGTGTGTGTGTGAGAGGGTTCGTGGTACGTTAGTGGGTGTGCGCATGTGCACATAATGGTTAAGAATAGCTTTTATTGTGGAGCCTCTGGGAATGATATAGCACTCTAAAGTAATGACCAACATATGATGCTTTTCTGTCATGAAAACAGCAACAAGACTGCATGTTAAGTCTAGCTCTAATAGCATTTTTTGAGAATTAAAGTTTTATGTTCTCTGATCTTATTCTTAGGAAGGGGACACAAATGTTACCATTTTTTTCTTTAGTTATTCTCTTTACTCTTTAATAAAAGCAACAATAATAGCAATTAGTGAAAATAATTTGTATGCAGTGAATTTCCAAATGGTTAGACGTACTATAAATTTAAAAGAATCTTATGATCTTTACTGCATATGATATAAATACTAATACACTATTAAAAATTAGCTATTGAAAAATCTGTTTCTCATCTATTTATCAGTCAACTGAAAAAGAGATGGATCTATTATAGAAAAAAAAATTTCTGGAAGAAAATTTTGCATTCATATCAATCATATATGAATGCCAGTGTCGTTTAACATGCACAAGCCTAAGATGTGAGAAATTTATGATGAACAGATTGCAACAGGAACAAGGAAGGGAAGGGCAAGAAAACACACGAATATGCCGAAGGCCTTTTCGCTATTGCTTCATCAGGGCATACCCTGACGAAGCAATAGTGAAAAGGCCTACGGCATATTCGTGTGTTTTCTTGCCCTTCCCTTCGTTGTTCCTGTTGCAATAAGCACAAGAATTCATGAAGATGGGGAGTGACTATGTCTAACATGCACAAGCACAAGTAATGACGGTGAGGAGTGACTATGTCTGAGAATGGGTTAGGCTCCCAGACATATAGAGAGGATCTAGGTTTTATACTGCACCTCACAGGAATGCATTGCTTACCGTGTGTTGTGTAAACTGTTAAGCATTAAATAATGGACAAACATATCACATGATGGTTATTAAAGTGATATTACAATAAAAAAGGGGAAAAAATCTTCCCAGAGCTAACCTAATGAATGTAATACTTGAATTAAAAAAAAAAAACTTCCCAAAACAACTTAAAAATTACCAGAAATGATTACATTCTACAACTAATTACAAAGGGATATCACTTATCAATAGGATGTAATATTTATAGAAAAAACATGATTAACCATCCCCATCTCTCTACCATGTTTAAACCCATTGCTTTCTTAGGCAGATCTATGTCAGTATTATTCCCTGCTGGGACAACAGACATATCTAAAAGGAAAGACTATAGATACATATATTTTCTCTTAGATTTATTTATTAATTTAATGATTTTACATGCTTCATTAACAAAATTGCGAGTGATAATATTCTATACAACAATTAAATTAAATTAATGATAATCAAATTCCATTCTTAAATCCTTGCAAGGCTTGCTGTCAAAAAATGGGCTGAAAGGGCTGAATAATGACATTTGAGCATGCGGAACTGACAAACAGTTACAAGGATATAAGCCGGAGAAAATATTACTCGTAATGCAACTTTATACAGATCACTTGCTGGCAACAGCATCAAAAATCATAAAACCCCTTAAACAGAAATCATTCGTTATTTTTATTACGTGGTTTGTAATTGTTGATGCATACACAGTATAATTAGTTTTACTGGGTAGCATTTTGTAGGTCAATGCCAGTTTAAATACATCTGTATAAAAAAGATGTATCTAAAATAAGGTAAGGTAGTTATCTTTAACAACAAAATACCCTTAATATCTGGAAGGGAAATCATAATGAAAAAATATATTTTTTATGCAGTTTATGATCAGAAATGATATCAGTCATGAATAAAAACACACACATAAAATATGGTATATGAAAAAGTTGTCTTTTTTCTTTCCTTTTTTGCATAACATACAAATATTGTTATTTGGCACAACATTATCACTGGTAAGTACTTAGCTCCCTCTCTCTTGCCACGTATTTCAGTTACTCTAATCTTAAAAAAAATAATTCAACTCTACAGGAAGAACTTCTTTATCCTTACTCTTGAATCTGATATAGTATTTTCCATATAATTTCAAATATCAAATAAAGAATTATAGAAAGAGAAAACAATACAAAAAGAGAGAGAGATAAAGGAAAAATTACATATGCAGGAATAAACGGCAAAATCAGAAAAAGTCTAAACGGCAGGTTGGAACTTTCAATGAGAAGCAATAGTCAACCATCAGTTTCGTTAACAGCCAACAAACATTAATATTATGTTACACATTATGGACAAAGTTAGTACATTCGTATACATATCTCACTGGGTAGTTTCTGCAACTCTCATTCGTCGGCTGGAAGAACCAAGAATACAATCTTGATGCATCAATTTCCCTTCCTTGCATACTTGGTATAAATGAACACAATATGAACACAGACTGTACTTATACACAAGCTGATTTGAGTGATTAAAAAAATGATTATGCAGGGCTGATATTTGTACTTTCCAATTTCCGAAGAAAAAAATATATATTTCTTTGACAGTAACCAAACCTAAATATAATTTTTCAGTGATTTCTAAAATCAAAATATTTTATCATGTCTTGCAACATGATAAAATACATATTACTTGACAATGCATAAGTCTATTTTCTTGATCATATCATCACAAAAAATCAAAAGGCACTTAGTCACTGTCCATATTCTCACAAAATTTCTATCAAGAGGGAGAACCTTCTATAAGTGTTTTATTTATGACTAATCCTACTAAAAAAAAAAATGAAGTCAAACTTCACAAGGATCATGTCCAAGAACTGAGATGGCACCAGGAATTTTCAATATAGCTAAATATGGTTGAACAGGGTTCATTGCGATTTATGTGGAGCAAGGCATAAATTAAAACAAATAATTTTGTAATACAAGAAATGTAACTTGAGAACAGAAATGTAACTTCAGAATTACATGTAATTCTGATGAAAATTTAACTGAAGTATGTCAGCTACTTCTGCATTATGAAGCTATTCATTCTCGTCTTTTCTGAAAATTATTGTCAAACTGACCACTTCTCTACAGGATCATTATTTTACTGTCATAGGAATTGGCTTACATAAAGAATAAATAAAAGTACACCTTCGGCAGCAAATTACAATTTCTTTTCTTTTCTTTTTAAATATTGTATACCTGAAATATTTTTCAAATACAGTATATGATATGTCTTGGAAGTGAATGATACGCTATCTGACACACACATCCACCCATCCAACCACACACCCACACCCACACCCAAATAAAAATGAAAAAAAAGGAATAATGCCATTTCATGATGACTATATTATTACTAAAAGATTTAAACAGATTGTAAAAATCTATATGAAAAGATCTTGATACAAGTCCCAACATTTTTTCCAGTGTTGGAAAAAAGTATGAAAAATGAATAAACACTTAAGTGCAACACAGCAATCAATGAGTTGGAAGGTGATTAACACAATTTTGCTGAGGACACATATCAAACAAGGGAGGGTAGTGAGGCATAACACTGTGGTTGTACAGATGGGAATTGTACTGGTGAAGGAAACCTGTCATGGCTGCTGGGTGATTGACGCCTCCTGAGGTTGGGATCTGAGTGGTGTGCGTGGGTGCCACAGTGCTTGCGACTGTACCTGAGTGAGCAACTGGAGGGGAAACCGTCTGACCCGCGTGAAGAGCAACACCACTCCCACTTGGTGTAACTCCATGGGAGTGTGGCGCCAGGTGAGGGTGGTTGTGGGAGTGCTGTTGGGTGTGAGAGGGACCCACAGGTGCTTGATGCATCTGTGGGGGCTTGGGGGTACGCCTGGATGGCAAACGGGGATTACGGTGAGGTGGTGGTCTTCCTCTGCCTCCAGTTGTTCCTTGACCTGTCTCCTCTCCTGCACCGGTCTCCTCACTGTGGTTGGTTCTCATGTGGGTTTTCAGGTGATGTACCTTTGAAGAATCATGTTTATTGTAAATCACTAAAACAAATGCTTACTCTCTATTTCCATAGCAAAGTTATAACATCAACTATAATTTCACAAAAGAAGTCTGAATTCTAAATATCAGTCACAGTCATCTTCACAATCTCTCTAAAGTGCAGGCACATATAAATGTCAGCAGTCGTGATTATGAAGACTGAATCATTGTACATGCATAAATGTGGGCCTGAACTTTACTCTGTTTCACATGCACCAAACCAAATACAAGTAATTTCTAACGGTAATCAAATTAGCTCCTTGAATACTACCTGTGAAAAAGTGAGAAGACAAATGCCACAACTGTAAGGTCTCTCCCCTGTGTGTCGTCTCATATGACGCTTGAAGTTTCCAGATTCAACAAACTGCTTGTTACAAACATCACATGTGTATCGCAGGTCCTTGTTATGGTATCGTAGATGAACCTATAGAAATGGAGATAAATTAATTATCAATTCATGCTTAATAATAAATGGTAAGATCTTTGTCCCTTCCATCATCATTAATATCAGAATTAGTAATATCATCAGCAGTGTATTACACATACAGAACTATCATAATAAATTAATGTTTTTCTGCACTTTTCATTTTTATTATTCTTTGAATAAAACTGACCTTGAGATCATGGGAGCGAGTGAACTGTTTGTCACACAGCTGACATGGGTATGGTTTCACTTCGTCATGTTTCAATCTGTGTCTCCGAAGATCAGTGCCTGTTACATATGTAGCTCCACATATATCACAGGCGTAATCTCTCTCTCCTGCAATTGGCCAAAAATACATAAAATTTTCAGTGTTGGTTTCTCTATAACCATAATCATTCTGAATATCATATTAAGTGCTAATATTATACATTCTACTCATAAATGTCTAAAAATGTTTGACCATTCTCAAATCAAAGATCAGTCCACCAGTTTCTAGTAAATCTGAAATTTAGTATTATGGCCATCAAATCTAGTTTCATTATTGTAACACAGATATACATATATAAAAAGTATTGCTAAATAAAAAAACAATACTATTCTTTAACCCTACACTGACAGTGCCAAAAGTTTCTGTGGCTGGTGATTACTCGCAGCTGTCTAGCCTTTATAGCATGGCATTTGCTGTACTGCTGGCCTTCCTGCTACCTTGGTAGAGCAAGTCATGGCATATATACACATGAACACTGTGAAGGGTAGATATTCCATGACGGATGTAGCCATGCCCGTCAAGCGTGATAACAATCAGTGACTAACCTGTATGAAGTTTCGTATGTCTCTTGAGAGCGTTGATTGCAAAGAAGGACTGGCCACAGATCTCGCATGTAAATCTTCTCTCTCCTGTATGGTAGACGACATGCATTTCCATATTTGCTTTCCGACTAAAAGCCTTGTGACACACAGGACACTCGAATGGCCTCTCTCCTGAGAACAAAAATGACATACTCAGTGTAATGTAATAATATTATGTGTAACAGATGCTAAACTCTGTACAGTCTTGCAGTGTCTGCATACTTCATATACTGAATGTAACAAAAACTTTAACACACACACACACACACACACACACACACACACACACACACACACACAACACAAAAAAAAAAAAAAAAGAAGAAAAAAATGTACACTTAATCTACCTAAATATTACAATATTGAAGACTTACTAAATTGGGATTAGTGGTTTATTTATTTCTAATAACTATACTGACAATAAATTTTTTCTCTTAAAAGAAGTGATATCAAAAAGGTGTACAGAACTCTTGCAGACATCTGAAAAAAAGAGCATAACCCAAGCATCTTCAGTTTATTTCCGGTGATCAAAGTAGTGTCTTTAGTTTCATCCCGCAGCACCATCCAATATCCATAACTCTACCTTTGTGAATTCTCATGTGTATCCGTAAGTTGGTGCGTGAAGACAAGACCTTCCCACACATAACACACTGGCATGGATTAGGACCAGTTGTGTGTTTGTGCCGCATATGGACTTCCATGTGGTTTTTCGTGGTGAAGAATTTTTGGCACTGGCTGCACTGGTACGGCCTCCCATTGTTGTGCTCTGAACGTTGGTGCTCCCTTAGTTCCCCCCTGAAGGAAAAATTGTTTTTTTAGTAGAGAGAGAGAGAGAGAGAGAGAGAGAGAGAGAGAGAGAGAGAGAGAGAGAGAGAGAGAGAGAGAGAGAGAGAGAGAGAGAGAGAGAGAGAGAGAGATATATATATATATATATATATATATATATATATATATATATATATATATATATATATATATATATATATATATATATATATATATATATATATATATATATATATGCCTGGTGAGTTAAGGTACTGTCACTTTTTCCGTCCTTTTTTTTCTTGTCAATTTTTCACAACCTGTCAACTTTTTGAGGTGCACAGTTACATTGGTTAAAAGAACAATTATGTCAGTCACGTGAAACAACAATATCATTGTATGCCTCTTTTTCAATTTATTCTTTGTGTACCTGCCATCTCTGGTATCCTCAGAAAGGCATATCCAAGATGATATTGAAACTGGAGAAGAATGGCATGCACTGCTCTCACAGATGTAAACAATTTTATTCATTTCAATAAATAGTAAATTTCATATTTACTGTCTATTGTTTTAAAGTATATATACTAAATTTATTCTTATAAACTTTATATTACAATTAATTTCATTCAACATAAATGCAAACATTCTCGAACATGGCTCTTGATTTGATTATGCTTGGCTGAAAAAGTTGACTCAAAGGTTTTCAAATAGAAACAATCGTTATCATCTGGCTGGAAAATTGACAACATTCCAAAATTGTCAAAAAATTTTAAAGAAAAAAGTAATAGTTGACAGCACCTCTATGTGTCACATGCAGCATGGCTGAGGCCTTACTGTTATCAATACTGTAAACAAAATAAATAAAATAAACTACAGTGGACAACATATGTATACTGTGCCATTAGGATATGGATAGCCAGTATAATATCTATGGTTCCATAAAGCATAAATATGACTGCTATCATCTATGTTACCTGCCATTTTCATGGAAACCTCATTTCCTGGCTTTAATAAATATTTGGTGTTGCTGTGGAATTTTGAAGGAAATGCATATTTGAATAAATCTTATTGATAATTTTGACACTGGTGAGTTTACCTTAACCTTCTATATCTCTTACATCATAATTACTATATTTATGTCTATGAATTTTGACCCACCTGTTAAAAAATAAGACACGACATACACGGCACTGCAGTGGGCCAGGCCTCCGCTTCCCAGATCCTTCTCCGTCTTCCTCACCACCTGCATTCTCACTGCATTCCTCCTCGCTGTTGGGAATAATGTTAAATTTTTATCTTTAATAATTATCAAACCTTAATCCCCCCAAAAACACACTATTTCAGCATAACCTTGTTGCCTAACAACAAAAAGCATAAAATTTTCAAACTTTAACAATGGAGGGAGGAAGAGAGAGAGGAAGGAAGGAGGGAAGGTAGTTCATACAGCCTCCGTAGAGGAAGGGCAAAAATATAAATTGGAACTTTCAAGCATTTGTTTCACTCTAGCACCAATGTAAATAGCCTAAGAAATGAAGTTATGACATAAACCATGAGATATTGGGGAGGTACATGCTATACATTACAAAAATTCCTATTCTATACTCCCTACATGTACTTAAAAATACAGCTAAGGACAATGCCAAAAGGCCCTGAACTATTCAATTCAGGGGAAAATGAGGGTGCAATGGGTATGTTGTACATTATGGGAACATATGTATTCCCCACATTCATTCACCCGTCAAAAAGTGCCATGATTGGCTTTGGGAGATAAAAGACCACAAGAGGATGGGGGAATGGGGGTGCAGAAATAGAAATAATTCCTCAAAAAAAAAAAAAAAAAAAAAAAAAGTGGAAATAAAAGACCACAAGAGGATGGGGGAATGGGGGTGCAGAAATAGAAATAATTCCTCAAATAGAAAAAAAATGTGGAATAATAATCTGCCTGTTTTTGAGAAGCTATACTCAACCTAGACAGCTTGGACTGAACATAAAAACTGAGAACTGTTGGATTAAGTTAACTTTGAGTTCATATTCAAACTGATTTTTACAGTTACAGCAACTGATGTCTAATATTACCATTATTCACTAGAAGAAATAAGAACCAGTATCTATGAACAACATATCCCCAGAAAACAATCATCATTCAGCTAAATTGGAATCTATTTTTTTTATATCCACAGTTACATCAAAGCAAATCAAATGCTGGTTTTCCATTTGGATATAAACGAAAAAAAGAAAAGAAAAAATAAGCATGAAATTGATTTATGAATTCTGAAATGAATCATTACTTATTCACAGATTTGTACCTTCCATCTTCATCATCATCCTCATAATTTTCCCCATCATTCTCATTGCTCTGTGTTGAATTTGTGCCGTTGGCTTCTGTATCACATGCTTCAGAGTCAATGAAAAGGGGGTCATCGACAACTGCTTCTTGTGCTGCATTGCTCTTAGGGTTTGAGCGCTGACGTGAAGCTCTCCTCTGAGTCTGTTGGCTTGCTCCTGCGTTTGTTCCTGTGGAGCGGCCCTTGTTCCTACTGCCTGGAGGTCGCCCACGTCTCTTTACTGCATTTTCTTCAGCTGCACTTTCCTGAAGGGTAACACATAAATGTTGAAAATATTTTGCTACAGATCAATACAAGCTATTTCTTACTGAATTTGCTATATAAAAATTTTCTGAATACCATAAGTGTACTTTCTTTTCTAAAATTACTACAATATTTGTCAATACTTGGACATATCAAATTATTCTTTTTGAAACTTCTACGCCACTGCCTCAGAGAGGGTCAAGTTATGTTTAATTTTGGATAGGGGAAGGATAAATTTGATAAAATCAACATAATAATTATGATATTACAGTAATTACAATTGATTTCTGTTGTGTGATACTTGTAAATACTGCCCAGTTTTTAGACATTTTGTTCCCCTAAGGGAGTTGGGGCTGTAGAGTATTAAAAAAGACAAACCATAAAAGAAGGAAAAATATCAGCATTCTTATTTATCACTTTTTCAATCATAAACCAAGGAGTGGCAGTCAGCTGCCACTCTTCTTACATCTCATTTTTTTTCATTTTCTGACAGAAATATAAAAATAACAATGGAAGAATCTTGACATCTCAAGAGATTTATTTTAGAAAACAAACTCAAAATGAAAAATCAAACAAAACCAGAGAATACCTGAAACCACCACAAGAACATATATCATCAGGTTTGGTCAATCTGCCCAAGCCACAACTTCCTAGATCATCCCACAGGCCTCCTCCACCCAGGGTTGTCTTGAACAGAGACAACCAGATGGGGAGGATCAAACTTGGGAAAGCAAGCCTGGTGGCGTATAGCCTGAGTTGCCGATCAAACTTGGGAAAGCAAGCCAAGTGGCTGTATCCCAGGTTGTGCAGATAAAAGGCCCTGTGCCAGTCTCACAGTGCAACCATTGGTTGGACTCATGGTCCTGCCAACAGTACCCTATGATCTGGTGCAAGGTCCTATTACAAAAGGCATCAAGACGAGACTCCAAGGCACAAGATAATGTCTAGGTTTCACTACTGTACAGCAAAACTGGCATTATCAGGGCCTTGAAGATGCATAGCTTGGTCCTTCTGCACAGGTACTGGCATCTCCAAATGCTCTTGTCGAGAGAGTTCATGACTCCTGCTGCCAGGCCAATCTGTCTGCTGACTTCTTGGTCTGACAGCCCAGAGTTATGAACTACACTACCAAGTTATATAAAGCTCTCTGTGACTTCACTGTCTTTGCCGCAAGCATGTACTGATCAAAGAGTTTCAAAACAAATAGTGTAATAAAAAAAGTTCTCTATTACTCATTATTTTTCTAAAAAAAAAAAAATAAAAAAATAAATAAATAAAATAAAATAAAATAAAAAATAAAAAAAAAAATTGGTTTGCCTGATTACTTAAAGTAATGCTCTTCTATTTCAAAAGTACCAGGGGAATACCAGGGTTTAATCTTATCGTGTACCTAAGTACCTTATTAAACCCCATGGCTGCAGATGGTATCATATACATGCCATGTCCACTGTAATTTTAATTTTAGTTTATTAATTGTGCTACAAGAGAAATGGCTCTAAATGTGCTTAGTTACCAATAAGTCAATCATTGATCCTACCTATCTCTCCTGTTTACCCTTTTCTTTGACTCCCTGATTTTTCCCCACCTAATCCTTGGAATGCAAATTCAGGCACAGTCATTGGGGCCTACTAATTCCCTCCTTAATGACAGAGCACTTGTGGAGCCATCTGTGTCCAACAAAATTCACTAAAAACAAGTGTGGACAGTATGCAAACCCACAGTCATTGGCTTAAAGTCCCCATGTAATGTTGTTAATTAAAAAAAAAAAGAAAAGAAAAAAAAGAGAGAGAGAGAGAGAGAGAGAAAGAAAAATCCTGATTGGCTTTTTATCTATTTACTTACGATTACTCTCAGTAGTTTTTCCTATTCATGATCAATATTGGAAAAATCACTGAAGAATTTTCATGCCTTGACTTAATTTAGCAATTCCATACCTGCTTTTGATTTCCTGTTCCTTGTTGGCTTCCTCCTTTGTTTGTTTTTGCATTCCTCCCACTGGTTGGTCTGGCACGACTCTTCCCACTACCCTAAAAAATCACACTGAATTTTGAAGTGGATTCCACTTTATACATAAATGAAAAGTACTATTTAGTATCCATTTAATGCAGTTTACGGGTTTAAGAAATGAAATTATATTAGTTATTCAAGACAGATACCTTTCATATTATCTTATGATCTACCTTCTTTCACCTCAACTGCTCATATGGCATCAAATATCAACAAAGTTAGAATGGTTTTCTTCATATAAGTTGATTTACACTGATCTCTTATTCCTACCTTGTGCTTGTTTTCCGCAGAGTTTTGTGCAATAAGAATATGCTCCAACAAGTGTTTCTTAAGCTGTGTCCACTGTGTGTATTCCCGACCACACACATTACACGTGAGATCATCTGTGCTTGCTGGAAATTTCTCATCCGTTTCTCTTTTAATTGTAGTTCCATTTGAAACCTTTTCTACCGTTGAATCAGTTGTATCACATGTATCTGGCTCATCATATTCTATCACTAGAGACTCATCAACGACCTGGCAAGGAACATGCAACAAAATATCAATCAACAACCATGATCACACACTCTACTTATATGGGAAGATCCTTCCATATGTCATCAGTATAAAATATAAATATAAATATATAAATATAAATATATATATATTATATATATATATATTATATATATATTATATTATATATATATATATATATATATATATATATATATATATATATATATATATATACATATATATATATATATATATATATATATATATATATATATATATATATATATATATATATATATATATAATATATATATATATATATA